TTAATATACTGGATATAACATAATGGAGAAGTGGCACAAAAATGCTCTACCTTAATGACACTGGAATTTTTCATATCCTATTAATATATCAACCATGCATAATAATAATAATATTAAACATATTGTCTGCAAAAGCTTTAAACCCGATGGGTTGATTTTTGACAAATAAAGTACGATAAATAAAATATAAAATACATACTACAAGAATACAAAGATCTACGTGGTTTATCTCAAAAGGGCTACATTCATTACACGAGAAACTGAAATCCACTATACCAATGAAAGTTACATCAAAGATTTTGGAACAAACATCGACAAAAGCACAAACGAGCAAAACCCTTTTAAACCAATCTCCCGTCGTTCTCTTTATTTCTGGCAACCATTAGCGACAACACCAGATAGAGGCACGAGACTAACAAAAAACTGACTCTATCTCTAACTAAAAGGGAAAACCAGCCAAAATATCAATGGGAACCGTTTATCTACAAGAAACAAACTTCTCAATCTTTGGGAGTCTAAAAGATGCATCATCACAATGTTTCTTTTAATAGGAAGCTCTCTTCTCTTTAAGATGATACCTTGCATCCTAAGCACATGAGGTTCTGCCCCTTTCAATGGGAAAACCAGCCAAAATATCAACGGGAACCGTTTATCTACAAGAAACAAACCTCTCAATCTTTGGGAGTCTAAAAGATGCATCATCACAATGTTTCTTGTAATAGGAATCACTCTTCTCTTTAAGATGATACTTTGCATCCTAAGCACATGAGGTTCTGCCCCTTTCTCTCTCTAGAAGAACCATCATTCTTATATGGTGACCCAAATAAAGCACAGAAATTCTCTGCACTTTTATCCCATATATATAAGATTTAGACTCTATACTAAATATGAAACTTCATTTAGATCTTACATAGATCTTAAAACCAAGAGATATATCTAAGTGTCTTAAACTTATTGGATTTCTAATTCTTTTAGGATACTTATCAATATTAATATCAACTTCACAAAATATGATATTTCCTTATGTCGGTGATTTTGGATAGCACCAAATCCAACACAACCTTCATGTTATTGTAGACGAGAAAAACATTATTGTACTAAATGTTTTATATGGAAATTGGGCAATTATGTTATTGTAGGATCATATTGTACAACAACTTTTTGAGGCATTTTTTTTTTATTTTTAAAATTTTGATGTCTTTTCTATTTCTTAGGGTAAAAATAATTTTTTGATTTTTTTAAAGTCATAACATTAAAATTTATAGCCGTTTTATTTTTGTTTTTAATTATATGATATGGAAGCGTTTTTTAATAATTTTTTAATCATGTTTATTATAATATTAGAATTGATAATTATATAGTGATAACCAAATATTGTGTTTTATATATTAATTTATTTGTATTATAAATTATGTAATCCATTATTTTTCTTATAGTTGTAAATAAGATTTTTAAAATTACAGGATACTACAATATATATTAGATTTGTTCTTATTTGTATACTAAAATAATTATAAAATATAAATAAACAATTTCAGTATATAATATTATAGTTAGTTAGGTTGTAATAATTTTGGATCAGTAAAATGAATTAGTAAATATTTTATACTTTCATGTGATACTAATTTTACTTTATATGGGAAATTATTTATTTAATCTTATAATATGGAAGTGTGTTCTAATATTTTTAAATTATTTTGATGTAATATTATAATAAATAATTATACAGGCTTCCAAACAGAAAAACAACATCTCAATGTTCACCTATTTTTACAAAATAATGAAAGCACACTCCTAAATTTTTTTAGAAACTAAAAGAATATTATTTTTAGAGATTTATAGTGATTTTTTTAAAAAAAATGAGACAAAAGTTACCGATTTCAGTGATTCTCCGACACCTATTCTAGTCACCGATCTATTTTTTTAAACCTTGATCGGCCGTTTTTCACTTAATAATTCGAGGAAATTGACCATGTCGACAATGTCATCTGTCCATTGTGCATCACCCTTTGAGGCTAATTGGAAGGATGGAAATTTGATAAAGAAGGTTGCACCCATTTTAGGGCGATGATTTTATGCAACCGTAGTACAATAATATGATACAATAACCTTAAAAAATCATTTTATGGCTATTTATTTGATCTAAAATTTGAAATATGCATTCTTTTCATTCTAATGAACAATTATAAAAATAAAAAATAAAAAACACAACCTAAAAAGTATTTTTTTAGCCCAATTAACACAGACTGTTCATTTTGGTGAGATGCTTAGATCTAGGTCTTAGAAGGATTTTTTCTTTTCCAATTTTTTTGGATGACTTTATTATCATTAGATGAAAAATATTAGAAAAGAAAAAAATGATTTTAATTTTATAAAGGCTATTAATATATTGAAATTCACAAAATAAATGGTCTAGATTCATTTTTGGAAAAGACTCATTTTAACCATATCTAAAGTTCAAATTGAAATTTTTTTTTTAGTGATTGAATATTGAGATGAAGAGAATATGCGTACAAAATTTGAGATCATACAAATACCACAAACATTATTTTTTAAAAGGGTCGTTTTATTATACTTTAATACAACCGTTATATTAGATAATTCTCCCCATTTTAATATCTAACCGGGTGTCTATCTTCCTCGTCAGCAGGTGCACAAATAACAAGTATTCCTCCACGTCAAATATTCACACGAGCAAAATGGAGGACGCGTTTAGCAAAGCGTTGCAGTGACTGCCACGTGGAGTGATAACCGCGTACGTCTGTGCCTTGTCGTAAAA